GGGGGGGGGGGGGGGTTAACAGATCCAAGCACCATCTGTAAGACGGCAGGGGGGCTCCACTGAAATGCTTGATGATGCGTGAAGCTCAGCCTTTAAATGTCTGTCCTCCCATTGTAATCTTCCCTTCAGAGGTTTCTTCTTGACAATGAGTAAATACTAGTGTCAGTGCTCTGAACTGGTGCATTTGCCTTTACACGCATGGAAACAAAACATGCAAGAAGCACATGTCAAGGAAGTAATGTTATAAAAGCACCATTTGTCCCATTCTTCTCTCGGTCAGGTGAGCAATCACACTCCACCCAAATGACTGTTCAAGCTTACACCGGCTCAGCTGTGACTTTACAGGAAAGACAAACACTCAAAGACGTCAGGACGTCAACCAGCATATTCAGGTTTGACTATTTCTCCTTCCTGTTGCGTGTCTGAAACGATCGATGACATTACAACGGGGATCAATAAGGGTGACTGACCAAGAAGTGAGTTTTTCCCCATTTGTTTGTCTTTTTATAATTATCATTTTATTGGCACAGTGTGGGAGGGTCTTGGTCTAAATGCTCATTGCAAAGCGGTTGCTAGGCAACCATTCAATATTAGACTAGCAGGATTGACTGCTGTCCCGCCTCCACCTCAGAGAGAAAGGAAAACGATAGTGGCATTTTATATAGGACGAACACACACACAGTTTGAAAGCTAGACAACTAAAGAATAGTCTTTTGATCAGGAAAGCTGGTTTCATAGTAGGTTATTGTGACAAGAATAAAAAACTAGACTAAAACAAAGACCTATCGTCTCTAGTTTGCCCATTAAAAAAAGAAGAACAAGAACAAGCCAAAGTAAAGTGACCAATTAGCTTGGTCAGTCTTAGTCAACCACGAGTCAACCATTTTCAAGATGATAGCTACAGCAAAGCAACATTAGTGACCACAATAAATTGTTATATCTTAGTTAATTCTACAAATAGTGAGCTTAAATTTGGTGTGGAAGTAGCCGAGAGTCATCCCTAACTTATACTTGGATCACTAACTAATCCCGCAAGATCCGTTTTAAAAAAAAAACGTACCCATTTAAATATCATTGTCAACCCTGTCTGTTAGCAAAACAGTATATCAACCACTGGACAGACTTTAGTGAAACTTTCTGAAAGTACTCATCAGATGTCCATCTACAACTGTTTTACTTTTAGAGTCCTCTTCAAACTTCTGCGTTAACTGGTGATGTACCTCAAAACTCGCCAAGTTTGAAAATCTACAACGGATTAACTTTTAGAGCCACCCAAATTTCAGACGGCTGCCACGTCTGAATTAGCAGGCTACATCTGGTGAGACCTTGTAATATTGAGGAATATTGTGCATAATGTCATTCACAAGGTTTGACCAAAATGACTAACTCCATACTCGTGCATTATTATAAATTATATGTTCTTAAGCTGAAAACATTGGCAACAACAACAAAAAAAAAAAAGTTGTGGGCAATATGCATTACTTCAAGGACTGCTATGCCTTTAATTAAGCACTTTATTCCAAAGGGGTAATTATTGCAGTTGTGTGTGTGTGTATATATCTATATATATATATCTATATATATATATATATACATATATACATATATACATATATATATATATATACATATATATCTATATATATATATATATACATATATACATATATACATATATATATACATACATATATACATATATACATATATATATATACATATATATATATACATATATATATACATATATATATATACATATATATATATACATATATATATACATATATATATACATATATATATA